ATAGTTTCTTGATTTTACTCTGTTTCACTTTAATTTGTTTTTGCTTCGTGTTGTTTGTTGTCTATACTTTAATAGTGGAATGCTTGTTTTCCCACATAGCCTTTATTTATACGAAACGCACTTCCACATTTCGGAAATTTCGTCTCCTTCAGTAGAGGATCCGCGTTTTAAAAAGTAATTTCTTTCACCTTGCAAACCAGCTTCTTATCTATATCTTACACACTGTTCTATAACATTCAGTTTTGATTTGTGGCCAGAGTTCACGATAAACATGGATTAGCCTGTATCTCTCAAAAATGGTACGAGTAATGGCGTAGGAAACATTTGTTGCCAAACGATGAAAATTTTCAAACCCCTACCTTTGAAGCTTGGATTTTGGGATTGGAGAGGGTCAAAATCACATACAGTCACTGTATGATGGGCCCTAGTTGGATTCCTTATGGGATTCTATAACATTTTGCCGCTGTTTCAGCAGTTCCCTCCATCCTAAACAAACAAATCCACGGACATGAATTCGAAATTCAACAAACCATTATCGTTCTGGAGAGGCAGGTTTTTCCATTTTTTCCCCCTGATTCTTCAAGTTTAAGCCTTGGTAATGTCCATATACTTGGACTAAAACTTTCCCTCTCCACCAGAATTGAATTATTGAAAAAGATTGCGTATAACTAGAATGATTTAAGAAACTCATTATTCATCCATCCAACTTTACCGATCGATATTTTACATATTTCGGCCGGAAAGTGGAGTCACGCAAAAAACCAAAATCAAACAAACAATGAAGCAATCTTCAGTCTTCTGACTAATCGGAAAAAGAAACGCTCTAAGAAAGAAAGAGCGAAACGAGAAAAGAGGAAAAGGCTGAAGCCTCATATTTCGTCGATAAATTGATTCACTTAAACACGATTGTTTTATAAAAACCAAAGCTAAATGTTAAATATGGTTAGCTGATCCAAACCATCGGGTTTACAGATTCACGATGGAATCTAAGGTCATTTTGCTGATCATTCAAGGCCAGATCTAAAGTTGTCATGTTCTTTAGCTAATAAACTATAAGGTTACATAGCTTACGCCATTCCCTCCCAAATTTAGAGAGTTGCAGTCGTGATAGCCAGATACTGTTTCTGGTCACACTCAGCCATGCATCATGGCGGTAATCTGTTTGATAGTTTTAGTTACTTGCTTAAGGAGGCTCCATAGGGTTTTTGTTCAATATTGGCGCGCGCGAGTGTATCGTTTTTCTAGAAAGTTTTTATGTTTTCGCTTTTCTAGGTCACTAAAAGCCATCAAAAGGGCGATGAGGAAGGTTCGGACCATTGTTTGCTGGTAAGTATTATCAAAATGATTTTCGTTAAGAAGCTAAGGCTCCACGAGAGCAGTGATTGCCTTTGATTTTCTTCAATTTGCTTCTGTAAAATGTCTCAAAATTTTCACAGATTGTGAAGTTTGTCGTACCGATCATTTAAAATCCGAAAAAAATAGAGGTTACAGTGGAATTTTCCTACTGTTTGCAGTTTTGTGTTTTCCTTGTCTATCTCAGATTTGGTCTCGTGAATTTCTTTTTAATCAACAGGCACTAGGAAGGGCACAAATATACTTAACAGTCCAGCAAATCTTAGGAAGTTCCACCGAAGGGAACGCTCTGAGAGTTTGCTCGTTTGTTTTTTGTAATGGCGTGCGTAAATCTGGTCTTTCCTCCACAAAAACTAAATTCGAATGAGACAACTTAACTAGACACAAGGGGATTTAATGCAGCTTTTTTCTCGATGAATTCCTTCAGTTTTTGTTGTGCAATTTACGGTACAAATCGGAAAGACTCACCGAAAGGGTATTTATAATAGAACTGAAAACGAAGCTCGCCCTTTCACTAAGAGAAAATTGTTTAAGAGAATTCAGACATTAAATGAATGAAAGTTCCATCGATTAATTCAATTGTAACTAAATACCTCACGTTTTAACTTTCTAGGTACTTTTTGTGAAGGATTGAATTAATTGCAGACGGTTTTTTAGGCCGCTTGTCAACCAATTTACTGATACTATTGCTTATACAAATTCATTTCGAAACCAATATTTTTCTGTCAACTAAAGTGATTTGAGAGAAAGAAAAAAGAGGATGAATAATAAGTTATTTATCAGCTTGAGGTAGTGACCAACGTCTTTGCTTAAAAACACTGCCCAGCCGGAAAAGCGAGATATATTTATGAAAAATGGTAACAAAGATAAGGATGTACTCGGCGATTCACGAAAGCGTTTTAACTTACCGTGCCCGTGGGCAGAGAGGAAAATACGGACCGCGCTAACAACCAATCAGATTGCAAGATTCGTTACCGTTCCCTCTGAGAAAAAAATTAGGTGAATGTCTTAAATGTGAACTGTGAATAAAGACGTGAATATGGAAGCGATATTCGCAGTAATGAACACTACTTGAGCAGTAGTGAAGATCGCTTTCATATTTAATTGGTGGGGAAGGCAAACCTGTGGATGATTTGGACAGGTGATCTAACAAAGCTTTCTTTAGATTAGTATTACTGATTTTCCTAGTACCCTGCGTGATGCGTGATGCGTGATGATTAAGAAGTTGAAAGGAGAGAAAAACACTCCATTCATTCCATTTTGTACACCATAGGAGTAAATCCAATGTTGAAATTAATTCATTTAAATATTTCGGTGAAATAGTCAACAAAACCGAAAAGGAATGGAAATGGACCCATGGAACCTAATAACTTAACATTCACGGCTGTTTTGGCAGTTTTTGACATCTTCCTTTTTCTGAACAATGCTCTACCATCTTATCCCCTACTCAACAAAACTGAATCACCCTACCGAATGCGGCAAGTCAAAGAAACTGACTTACGTAACCCTATGCTTTAAGGTAAAAACGCCTTTGCTATGTAATTCAGCTGTTTTTGTTTTCTGTGCTTTTGCTTTTTTATAGGTCAATATTCAGTTGCACTGTTTTTATTCTACTCGGTTTTCTTTTTCCAGTTTCGTTTTTTTTTTTTAAAGATAATTCGCTAGCATATATCTGAACTTATTAGCATATTTCAGAAATTTCGTTAGATGTGGCACAATAGGAGAACTTGAAACAGCTATTGGAATAGGTCCTCTGATCTAAAATTTCTTGCAAAACTTCTTTTAAAAATATTAGACACCAGGCCCTGGTTGTTCAAAGCTGGGTTAAGGTAATCCAGGGTTAGTGTGAAATTTGATTTCAGGTCTGAAAACTTTAAGAGAAAATTCAGTTCAAATCTTTTTGCTTGCAATTTGATCATTGGATGTTCTAAAAAGAATAGTGAAAGTTTTCCCCAAAAGACTTTTGAACAAAGAAATAAAGAAAGCTGGATTAAAATTTAACCCTGGGTTAGAGCTAGTCGGCCTTTGAACAACTGGGCCCAGTATGTTAACTAAATTCTCTCCTTTTACTTCAGAACCTCAAAATGCCGCTTCCGCTTGTGCGAGTGCAATGTACGTGCCACTAAATGCTTTAAGAAGAATCGCTATCACTACAAGTAAAGAAAATACCTACAGATCAAGTGTACGAATGACAAGCTTTCTGAACGTGTTGAAAAAACAACATGAATGTTGTTTTTGCTTTGAGTTTGTAATTGTTTGTTAGATGAATAAAAGAGCAAAGATCTCTTTTGGTATAGTCTGGCTTCGTAACAACTGCCACAGTTACATGTCGCCTACCGATTATTTCTGTGGACTAGGTGCTATCGTTTCAAAACAATAACTCAACTATAAATTTTTTTAAACCTTTTCCATCAATGTACTTTATCAAGTCAACATAGAGTATCTGGCCTACAGACCATTGAACTACTGTAATTCCAGGTTTACTGTGTCAAACTAAAAGCCCGAGTTTCTGAAGAACTACTAACACCAGAAGCAAATATCAGTTTCATCTTCTTAGAAAATGATCCAGTGTGCATGATTGTGCGACTGGATCGATTTACCAGTTTCACTTAATTGCCAGAAATACACAAACCATTCACGTTAATAGTTTATTTACAATGTTTTCTTTTTCAATGTGTAGGTGTCGCATTTAAGTAAACATGTTCATCCCAGTAATTCATTGGTGCATAGACTCCGAGTACACTTCGGGTTTTATAAATTTTAATAATTAGTGTAATTTAATAACTATGAATAAATCGACGATTTCCACTTCACAGAGAAATTCACTTGCATTAATCACAACACGCACATTTCACAAGAAAGCAAGCATGCAGTACGCAAAAAAATGATGTAAGAACCCTCCCTTATCTAATTGCCGTTCAGGCCTTCGTCGAAAATTGGCGAAATTCCCTTGCATCTTCTAGAAGGACCTCATAAATGACTTCTACATAATCTCCAACAGGTAACTGCTTCCACTCACGCCAAGTAATGAAATTTCAGCTCGTACATCCAGGGAATTTTTCACAATAAAAA